TCAAATAGGAAATAAAAATAGCTATAAGAAAAATATTACAGTCAAGAATATTTAATTTATAAATAAAAATGTTATAAATACTTATATGATATCATGTTATAATATTCACATATATATATATTTTTATATATACATAATATATCAATAATTTTTGATAATATGAAAAGAAAAAAGTAACTATATAGTAGCTTTGTAACATTACTACTGAAAATTATTAAAATTACGTATAAATTAATTGCAGCAATTTGTAATTTAATTACCATAAAATTACTTAAAAAGTAATTTCGTTACAGTAACTTATCACTTAAATTAAATTACTTCTCAACATTGATTAAATTTGTATAGAATGTATAGAATTACTTATGGATTATAAACAATTTAACATAGCAATATACCTAATTTATATTTTAATTTTCAGTTTAAAATATTAACTTAATATTTGAATATCTTAAATACAGAATAAAATGAATAACCTCACATTCTGATGTTTCATTTCAATCGAAGTTGTAAATTATTTATTCCATATCGTTCTCGGCGTTATGAGTTCCTCAAAAACTTTTTGAACTTGCAGCCGCTTTATAGAAGACAGAATATGTATTACCATATATTACTTATATATATATTTAACTGTTTTAATAAGTGTGATTGGGCATCACGCGTTTGGGCRAATTTTTAAAAATTGCAATRTGTTTGGGCAATTTAGCATAATGCGTTTGGGCCAGTGATTTTAAAACATTGTAATGCGTTTGGGTGACCATTTTTTTATTATTTATTTTGAATACCCCGAGATGCTGTATTTTATCAATCCATCTTCCCTCTTATTTTGACAGACTTGGGACTGTTAGTGAATTCCACGGGTATGATTAAAAATGGATTGTTTATTTATGTGTGTGCACGTGTAATTAAAAATTGAAATGATTTAGATTTTTAAAAATGAAGTTAAAATATAATTAAAATTGAAAAAATATATTTGTTTTTTGATTTATCTTATAATCATTACAATTTTATCTATTATATTGTGTCGCACCGTCCGCACTGCACGTCAATCACTTGTTTAATAATATTGAATCCTCAACGTACGTGAATCCTCAGTACTACGTCGAACCACGACCTTCGCTCTCTAAAATTATGTCCAATCTAAAGATAAATGATAAACAAAATACGAAAAAAGATAATCCCGATCACTAAATTCAGGAATACAAAAAATATATTGTCCCGCCCAAACACATTATAAGAATTTCGGTTAACTAGCCCAAACACATTACTTTTATTATACAGGTAAAAAGGCAATGCGCCCAAACGCAAACCGGGCGATTGTAAACTCTCCCGATTTTAATGACATGTAAACTCTCCCGATGGTAAACTCTCCCGGGTCTCCCCCAGTACTACCTGACGGGAACATGTAAACTCTCCCGGGTCTACTTCAGTACTACCTGACGGGAACATGTAAACTCTCCCGGGTCAACATTAGTACTACCTGTCGGTAACATGTAAATTCTCCCGGTTAAACATATTGTACTAGTGTCTTGTGGAGCATGAAGCATCATT